ATTGCTTCATGTATTAGAGGCAGGAGGGTTGACTTTGTTCCTGTTACAACAGCATAGTCAGAACTGGAAGTCTAGACTACTTCCCGTGGACAATTAAGTTTGTGAACCCATCCTACAAATGCGCTACACGGCTCATTGCTGAATCACTATGGTCACCTTTGACGTGCTCCCCTTGGGAAGCTGTGCACCAGCGCCAGTGCCACGTCCACCCTTCAAAGCAATTTTGGAACCCTTTTTGTGGAATGGTCTTAGGACTTGTTGTGAAGTATGACAATTAAGTTCATGAACTTGTCCTAGAAAAAGGACTACATGCCTCATGGCTGAGGGTCACTACAGTCACCAGATATCCGGGGAAACATTCTGAAGCTGTATAAAAAACTTGTTCCTTATTTATTCCAAGTATCCAGAAGTGTGCCTGACATGTTAGGTACTGGCTTAGTAGATATTAGTTGAATAGAGTATTTGTGGAATAAGATTATGTTTGCAAATCCTTCAGCAATTATTGAGTGTCTGCTGTGTGTCAGGCACTGATGATTCAGTGGTGGATAAAACAGGTAAGGGCCCTGCTTTCATGGCGCTCAGTGTCTAAAGGGAAAGACAAATAGTAAACAGCAGTGAACAGTGTCCATGGTTATACACCGTGATAATGTGAGTGCTAAGAATGAAGAGAGTGGGGTGCCCTGAGAGAGAGGGGATCCGGGAGCGCTCTGCCAGGAGGCCATATGTCTGCTGGCTCCCCTGGGAGGAGAAGCCAGCCTGTCGAGGAGATGGAAGCGGAGTGTTCCAGGGAATTGGATATGTGAAGCGCAGGGGCAGAAAAGGACTTGGAGCTTTTGAAAATGACAGGGGACAAGAGAGGAGGGAAGAAGGCCACAGCTGGACCTTGGAGAGGGCTAGGCCCGGAACAGGCGGGGCCCGCAGGCGGGTTTACAAAGTTTTAGTTTTCTACACGGAACAATGAGGAGCTATTGAAGGTTTAAAACAGGAGAGTGATATGAGCCAACTTTTATTTTTAAAATATCTTTCTAGCTTTACTATAGAGAATGTTCCTCCTGGCACAGTTATAGAAGCAGGGAAGTCACTTAGAACTGAGACTATTTGGTTTTTTGTGCCCTCGGCCCATTTGACGGTCTGCCGAAGCCTGGGGTTCCCTTCTCAGAATAATGTTTTAAATTACAAAAGAAACTAATTATATTGAAAAATAGTTCATTAGAATGTTTGTATGAAATACTTAAAATAATAAAAATATTTTAAATATTTAAAATGTAATTTTAAAAAAATGTGAATAGCTTTGTAAACATATTTCTTTATTAACTGATTATACAGGATCTTACAAAGGTCTATAAACATACAGTGGGTGAACAGAACTGCAATGCTGAGATGTCACCAGTGACTATCCTGTGATTGAAAACATCTGGTTTCTCTCAGTGACTAAGTCACATGTATTTCTAATGCTACTCTAGTGTCTCGTACATATTTATAATGCAAGGAAATGGCACATTTCCGGTTGAGGTCAATGAAAATAACGAAGTAGGTTTCTGTATTACTAAAGTTCATAGACTACCCCCTTAATTCTATCCATGGAGTCCTCGTGGAATCCAAATTAATCGCCCTTCATTTAAGAAGCTATTTCAGTAATCAGGAGGAGATGGAGGCTCAAACCCGGGTAGTTGTGATCGAGATAACAGGAAGCGGACAAAATTTGAGATATCTTTGGAGAAAGAATCAACAGAAAAGTAAAGGGAGGGATTTTCTAGAGTTACTGGGGAAATCTTCTTGGAAAAACTAGGCCTAGGAATGTAAAAAAGAAAGAAAAGATGGGTGGAAAATGTTAGCAGGGATGGATGGGTTAGAAAGTAAGGATATCAGCCAGGCAGACCGTCACTGCAACTCTTCGTAAGGTGAGAGACAAGGGTGACAGCCATGGGTTGGGAGGAGGAGCATTCATAACCATGAGTCAGACTTGGCCTGGCCACCCCAGCCTGTGGGGCCCAGGGCAGACACTTGCTTAATGAAACCTCACTTCACATACTTAATATGAGAATAATAATAGCTTGTGACTATGATGTTATTGTAAGGATTAAATAAGATACTGTGTGCGAAGTGGTTGGTGCGATTCTGACACATAGCAAGGGCTGATAAATATTAGCAATTAATTCTAATTCCTACTAGGATTCTGACACTGCATTGGACCTTTGCCCAGAGGAAATTGCAGTCTAGTTAAGGAAACAAGATAAAACACATCTATGTTTTGAGAAGAAAACCATGAAGTATCAGGTGTTCAAAGATAAGATACGAACAACCCTTAAGTTATTAATTTTGCCCAGGATAGCCCCTTCTGTATT